TGTGTGTGTGTGTGTGTGTGTGTGTGTGTGTGTGTGTGTGTGTGTGTGTGTGTGTGTGTGTGTGTGTGTGTGTGTGTGTGTGTGTGTGTCTGCCTCTTATCCTTCCTGACTCAGGAAATGTAGGACTTACTTCCACCTTCTCCAAACCTCTACGTTTTTATACCACCCAGCCTGGTAAAATTGATTTGCACTCATACTCATAAGGAAGCAGAGATTGGCAAAGTGACTTTCTTGAACCACAACTCTGAGAAACCCCAACCAACAAGTTTTGCATAATTTAAAAGCCTACATAGTCTTGTGGCACCTGCTTGGCCCAGAGAATGGCATTACCTGTCTGTGCTCCATGGACCAGCCCAGCTCCTGTTTGGTTTGGTTTAAATATTTAGATGAAGATTTTAAAAAACAAGCAAACACCTATAGCTGGACAATGACATGATTTGGACTTAGCAAAATGCCAAGCCATTGTATGGACATACTGTTATAATTCTACAAAATTCACCCCCCACCCATACCATTTCCCCCCACTATTTGGATAAATACAAATATATACAAATACCTTGAAATATCGAGGTACAAATAGAATCAGGCAGGCTACAAACCATCTGAAAAGCAAATCTGTTGTTATTTAAGACAAATTCAGTTTGGACCAATAGTATTGTACATCCTTAGCTGAAACCTTTTGACAAAGCATATTATTGCTTGCTCTCTCAGGTTACCTAGGGCAGCATTGTTCCTCTAGTGAATTCTGAACGTGATATGGGGTTGCCTATCTAGGATAACAAATAGACTGTTTTTTAAGCTGTCACATGTCTTAAAGTGAAGCAGTGGCTGTTGAAAAGCTTCCAGTTAGCCTGGGGCAACTGCCCTTGCTTTTAAGACACTTCCCCCTTAGATGAATCCCTGGTAGAGATGTGCCTATCTCTCAGTCTCCGTATTTGCAAATCCCTAATTCATTTTTTCCCCATTCATGTTTCCTGTCAGCCGAAGAACTTTTCTTCTCACACAGAAATGTATACACATTTTGGTGCATATTTTCCCTAACGTACACGGTTTCCTCATGAGGACAAGAAGGATATACTCCAGCTTTTTAAAATATTCTGAGTGCAAATCAGGCACATCAAAAATGTGAATGTGAATTACTTTTCCATTCCCAGTGCTTTGATAACAGAAATAATCAGAACTTGGACAGGATACTTTTTAAATATTACAGACCTCTGAATGTGGCCATCAGATGGGGTGGATTCTGGAATTATAATCCAAAAAAGTAAATTAAAAAACAAAACAAAAAGTAGAACGGTTGCTAAGTCAATAATGTATTCAGAGCATGACAGTCATGTATTGGGCATTGGCTCATTCTGGATCATGGCTGATGTATTCTTTATTAGCATAACTGTGGTGGTTTCTGTCATGCCATTTTAAATTCCAAACTGCCAAGTAAAATTTAAAGCTATGTTGCTGCTATTCTGTTCCTCTGCTACATCTTCTGCTCACAGACTCATGCTGTGGATTTTTCCCACCACTTTCTCTCTCAACTGCTTCCTTCTCTGCACCACTTCTTGGACTGCAGCTCCCACCATCCCTAGGCAGCCAAGCCAAAGATGAGGGCTTATAGAATCTGCAGTCCAACGGCATCCGGATGGGTCAACCCTTCTTTCTTTTCCCATCCTCCTCCAGCAAGAGAGGGTCCTGTCAGGGGAATCATCCTGAAGTGCCATGACAGAATTATTCTACAGGATGTTTAGTGTCCAGCCAGGGATATTACTCAGTGGAGACTGGTAACTCCAGTTTTGCAGGGAACCTGCTCTGGGTTTTAAACAAAATGGAACAGTACTCCAGAAGCATCATGCATGGAACATTTTCTGGATGTAGACACACTCCTTTGTATCCAGTCCCCATAGCTGGGTGTTGTTCATACATTATAGTTGATCATTCTCTAAACAGTAGCAGAGGGGAAGCGGTGGCCCAGGGCTGAATCTGCCCCTCTTCCTGCATTCCCCATATGGCCCTCTTGAGGGTTTCTGAATGATCAGAAAACCTCAGAGGGCCAGATTGGGAATGCGGGGAGTTTCCAAGCTCTGGCATAGTTTTTTCTCCCTCTCATTCTGAAAGACTGAACTGTCTCCCTTAAGTCTGAGCTACTGGTCTTAAGAGGTTTAAGCCCAACCATGCTGATGTTTTTGGTCTTACTACTTTCTTTATCTTTAGCCCTGGACGCTCCAGGAAGGTGCCCACCCACCCCTGAAGTTCTCTGAAACTCAGTTTGGAACTTGGACTGAAATATATCCCCCCACCCTTTCCTTGGTGTTCTCTGTTTCTTTTTCATGTTCTGGTTATTAACACTATATACTGCATGGGAGCAGACCAAAAGGCCATGCCTAAAAATTAGGAGTCAAATCCTAAACATGTAGTAGCAGTGCTGGTGGTGGTAATGTATATATTACCGGGAAAAAGAAAGCTACGTTATAATCTGCACACATTTTATAGAGAGCTGCACATCATCTTGACCTTGGAAGAGGGACAAAAAGAGCTGAAGCAAACAAACCCACACATTAGACAGTTTTAAATCAATTTCCCATTTATCTTCCTTTAGCAGGAACTTTCACTTAACCCATGCATATTTGCCAGTTTGGACAATCACAATTTTTTTCTTATTTAAGGAAAATAAAAGTTTATTTTTGAAGGCTTCTTGCGGGACTAAGAGTGCATTTTTAACAAAGTACATAAACTTCTGAAGGTTGGCACAAGAGCCCACCCTGCCTTGTCCATTAATCTAGTTGTTCCTTCACTCCTGTCTACTACCAGTGCACTCCCTTGTATCACTTATATATGGACTATGTGGAGATGCTTATACTGGATTTCCACTTCAACAGAAAATATATTTGGAAAGGCAGGAAGTGGTTTTTTTTCCCCACTGGCGCTGATACCCACATAAATGTGTTGGGTTGGAATAACTAGATGACCAATGCTGGCAGATTCACTTACATGATAGAATGATACTTCATCCAGGCAGAGCTGTGAGGGCTGAACTATGGGGACAAAGTTCAGGACGCTGAGGACCTCATGGCCCAAATTGACACCTGGTGCTTAGAATCTTGTTGCATAAGTCACACCTGTGGAAGGATGCTGATATCACCCACCGTTGGAGATTTTCAGTTATTAAGACTACCTCTTCTTGTCCAGCAGCTTGTCTGACTTGTAAGCAAACTGTTTATCATATAGGAGCTGTGGGACAGAAGGAGGTTGTCTTTATTGAAAATCTCCCCCCAATGGTGACATCATCACTTTTCCAGAGGAATAATTTATGCAACAGGATTTTGGCCAAATAGCTGCAGGTGATGGGAAGCACTGGCCAACAGGCATTTACTACCTATTAAATATATTTGTTACTCTCCAATAAAATAGTAATTACTTCCAATCAAATGTGTTTTTCAGCAGAAGCAAAGTCCATCTTATTCCTATAAAAATGGTGTCATGGCTCTAGTGCATTTCAAATTGAAAACTATATGCCCTGAGACCATTGTATCTTTATCAGAACTGGCAAAGAGACATTTTTGTTTGTTTTCTCTAACATATCACTAACATATCAGGAATGTCACAGCAGCTCTGTAAAGTTTGGGCGGGAAAAGAAAAATGTTAACTTTGCTTCAAAATTGCCAGATCTCAGGTTTTGGCCCCGAGGCATAGGTTTTTGGGTTGATTCCTTAGGTTTCAGGCTCTGGACTTGAAATCTCTGGAAATGGATGCCAATCCATCAACCTTATATTTGGGGACTTAATTGCATGGCTTCAGGTCATTTAGACATGGCCAGAAGCATCCTTGTCTTTTTCATTCCCTTGCATATTTTAGAGGCGGTGGCGGCGGCGGTGGTGGTGGAATTCACCTCTTGGCCTTTAAATTCATCATAGAGTCTCTATTCTCCTTTTCCAATTATTATGGAAGGGGATAACCCCAATCATGAAACAATGGGTTGCTCTCTGTGATATCATAAACACCTGTCCCTGGGTCTCAGGCATTGGTCTTGAAATCTCAGGGAAGGGGATGCTGCTGACCATTCCCACCTGAAGTTGAGAATGGGGAGCTTCAGAACATTACATCCAGGGTCTAAAATGCCCAAGCTGCCATCACTGGTCCTTCCTGACATTGGTTTATTCTGGTTCAGACTAAGGAATCATGTAGCCTCTGGCTAGTAGAGCTCAGGAAATTAACTCTTTAATAAAACCAGAAGCTAGGTTGGCTGGGAAATGTGGAGAACAGTAGTCCAACAGGGCCCACAATCACCTACCACCTTTGAAAGGCAACAATTCAAGAGTACTGTATTTTTCCATGTATAAGATACCCCCATGTATAAAATGCCCCCCACTTTTCTAATCCCAGATTAAGAAATCTAAGTGGGGCTTAGCAAGTGTGCAGGGGAAGGGATCAAAGCACTGCAGGATCGCTTTGATCCCTGCTTTCTCTCCACTTGTGTTTGTTCTCTCCTCAGCTTTCTTCCGTGTATAAGATGACCCTCAATTTTTAGTCTAAAGATTTTAGATAAAAGTATAGTCTTATACACGGAAAAATACGGTATTATATGGGGGAACAGAACCCTCCCACCAACTCTTTAATACCACCTTACATCTCCAGCTGCTTGACCCAGAAGAAGAAGCAGTGTATGAAAGAGTGAACCCAAACCAAAACCCCTTTCATGCCCCATTTTAAAACTCCACCTGGACTTAAACACGGCAGAACATTTTTCAAACAGTCAGGGTTACAGAAGAACAGTGCTCCCATCATTCTCCATTACAGGGAGGGGAATATTAATTACACCCTAGTGTATCTGGTATAACAATGTTCTGAACTATTGTACGGATGTATAAATTCCCATTGAGCTCACTAACAGGTAGCAAGTTGTAGAGTCTCAGTGTTTCAGTGAAAAGCTGAGGGAGCGGGGAATGCGTGAACAGCAGTAATACATATTTGGGTTTTTAAATAATTTTCTTTTTAATTGTTGAGGCAGTAATACTTGGTTCATGGAACTGCAATATACAGAGAGGTGAAATAAATAGCTTATATATATAATATATATTTATATATATAATAGAGCTGGTTTTAAAATATTCCCTTATCATTGGTGTTAATAGGTTATTTTACTTAGTCACTTGAAGGTCATTAGCAGCATTCTCCAGAAGTGAGCGTCATAATGCAGGATCACAGAGGTGTGACACCTTATGTCGTTGGAAAGGTTACAAAGGGCTGAGGTATTGAGCTCTCCATGGAAGCTCAATGATGGATTTTGCAGACCGTCTACGTGTCTTGGTCGAGCTTGCAGCAGACAATACAACAGATCACTGCAACACCAGAGAATTATCCAAGGTTTTTTGGGGGGGACTTTGGGAAAAGAACTTTGGTTTTCTTTGGTTTGTGGTTTTGGTTTTTATTCATATTCATATTATTATTCCCATTTTCAGATGAACTCTTTCCCTCTAGGGACTGGCTTGAAAAAAAAATTGTCCATTCCAAAAGGTTGTCCATTCCAAAAGAGAAATAAGCACCTGTACGTCAATCCACAGCACAAAAAAAAGAGAGTCAATTTAAATAGAGCCATTAATTTCTTCTTCTTCTTCAAGTTACAATAAATCTTTTACAGCTTCCCCAGTGGGTTTTTTTTTAATCCAGTCTTTAAAAAAAATTAAAAACAATGTACAAAAATAGAGCTTCTCCCCTTTTTTTAAAAAAATGTAAAAATATTTCTCTGGTACAGTTTATCATTTGTAGTTTATTCTCCTGTGTTTTTAACTGGGGTTGGTGGGTCGTATCCTCCTAGTCCTCTTGGTCACTGTGGTATATTTGAAAGGTTTCTGTAAGTCCACTTGCCCCTTTGGGTATCTTTTCATAAAATGAACGTCTTGCTGGTTCTCCCGAGTCTTGGGGCCCTTCCGAGGCCTCCCTTTTTTAGTGAAACCAACATACCAGCCTGAGTATTTCGCTGACATGAGCGCCGTATAGTTGTTCTCTAGGACTTTCTCAATGAAGACGCACTCTTTGCTGGTGCCATCCGGCTGCAAAGGGAAAGCGGGGGGGGGGAGAGAATACAATTATCAATACATGGCAAGTCAGTGCACACCTTGAAAGATCATTTGTAGTGGCAATTAAGCCAGCTTTGGAACTACTGTTAGATCAGCAACTTTGAAACACTACTGTAGCTAACATGTTTATACCTTTCTGAATATTGGACCCGTTTTAGGAAAAAGGCAATACAATTTTAGAACGAGCCAGATTCCCTGTAAATGTCAGATGCCTGGATTCTATCAAACATTAAACTAAAATAAATATTTTATATCTTGACATGAAATGGAGTATATCCCTGTCACAGCAACAGATTGAGCCATGCCATCATGCAGCACCACATACAAAAAAGTACCTGCCCTTCATGTTATACACTGATGTCATGGCAGCAACGAACTAGTATCAGAAGATCAGGAATAGGTGATGCCGGCAAGACTACTGATTATGACTCACAGGTAATTAGACAATCAGGTACATTCAGTAATCTTTTGGCTGTTAGCCAGGTAAAGTTTCCCCCTTTTCTCAGTTGGCCATGAGAGAGGGAAATCCTATGGGAGAGCTGAGTCCTCACGGTGGGAAGGTAATGGCGTTCCATGTCTAGTCACACTGGCCATGTGGCCATGGAAACTGTCTACGGACAAACTCTGGCTCTATGGCTTGGAGACAGGGATGAGCACTGCACCCTAGAGTCAGACACGACTGGACTAAATGTCAAGGGGAACCTTTAGCTTTACCTAAGACAATCTAAATGACCAAAACATCCAACCCTCAATCATATCATATCATAACTGCCCAGAGTAGACCTTTGGTCTAGATGGGCAGGATAGAAATCTAATCAATCAACAAACAAACAAACAAACAAATATCTTCTTGTTGGAAAATGTATTTACCGTATTTTTCGCACCATAAGACACACTAATCCAATCAATCAACAAACAAACAAACAAACTAATAAATATCTTATTGGAAAATGTATTTGATTAAAATATCAAGATATGCATGTAAACCAAGAAAAATCAGGCAATTTTCCTGTGCATGATTCTCACAGAAAGGGCATTAAGGTGCAATGGGATCTTAGTTTGGTGCGTCTTATGGAGCGAAAAATACGGGTAATTAAAATATCAAGAAATGCATGCAAACTAAGAAAAGTCAGGCATCATTCCTGTGCATGATTCTCACAGAAAGGGCATTAAGGTGCAATGGGTTAAGATCTTAGTTTTGCAGAAAACAGAGGAGGTCTTGCTGGGAAATCTCAGCCTTGTAAAACTTAGAAAACTGATGAGAACTAGAAATGTAGTAAATATTTTTTTTTATTTCCCTGTTTAGAACTGCTTTACATGATTAAGGTGCAAAGGGTTAAGATCTTAGTTTTGCAGAAAACAGAGGAGGTCTTGCTGGGAAATCTCAGCATTGTAAAACTTAGAAAACTGATGAGAACTAGAAATGTAGTAAATATTTTTTTTCCCTGTTTAGAACTGCTTTACATGGTTTGTTTAACCAAGTTATGCCCAGGCAAGAAGCTCTAAGGAGGAAAGCATTTTCAACAGAAGTGCCCCTCCTACCTATTGTATAGAGCAACTATTCTCAATGGGAGCCTTATAACCCCCTGGGGTGTCCTGGCACGTTTGAAGGGGGGGCACAGATACAATTATTCACACACCATCCTATAAGGTTTGTTATGCAACTCATACAGTTCTGATTCGGCCCATATTTCTTTCACATTGTGTTTATGGCCATGACCACAAAAAGGTTGAGAATGGCTGGTATAGAGAGGGAAAAGAGTTTAGTGGCAACCTTACTACTGAGTACAGGACTAAGGCCCTCCATCGAGTTGCAAAGAGTGGACTAAGGAGAAGACTCTGCAATCTGAAATCTAAATAGTTCAAGAATAATTTCCATAATTCTTATTATTTGAAGCTAAGAAGAAGAAAAAATCATTCTTTCTCTTTGATTTACAGATTTACTTCACTTACCTGCATTACAAAATATTTAATAATTAACCGTATTAGGAAATACTGTATAGACATTAATGTCATTACATTCCCTCAGAGCACATATTTGTTACTCCACGGCCTTACTGCACAATTTGTGAAGTGAAAGGGAGATGGAGGGCCGAACCAGCTCTGTCAATTGAGGTGGTAGTGGCTTCAGTAGGACAAGGTTCAGATGGAGGGCAGATCACTCACAGAATAATATTTCAGAATAATCCTATAGATTGAAGTGGACAAAATCTGTCTTGCAATGCAGCTCAGTTGCACTCCTACGATCCCTCACCACTGGCAATGCTAAGCTAGAACTGAGGGAAGCTGCAGCCGACCAACATTGGGAGGACCATGTGTACCATCCCCACCCTAACAATATATGTCTCCTGAAGAAGAGTCACATTGAATAGGCCTTAGTCTGAAGTAGAGGAATATTGGATTGGATAAAGTGTCCCTGTGAAGGCAAAGATGCTAGTTCTTAAGTCGAGACCCCACTGTAGAGGAATATTAGATTGGATAAAGTGTCCCTGTGAAAGCAAAGATGCCCATATAGAGGAACATCCCAGTCACTGCTCCCTAGTGCAGCCTCCTGCATATCCAAAAAACCTCTCCTGGGGGTGGATGTGAAAGAAGTAGGGTTACAACATGGCCTCTTTTGAATCACAAACATAAATCTGACTATTAAGCCTTAAAATACTTTCTCACTTTTCTTCATTCCAATACACACAGATGGCTAGGTTTATACTGCTTTACTGAATGCCCTTGCAAGCTCTATGCCTTTTGAAAAGTAAGTATTCAGGATCAAATCTTCAAAATATGTACATTATCCATACACCACTGAGAGATGCTTCACATGATAATATCTGAAAAGTCTATGTCCCTCTTCATGTCCAGACCATTTTCTGAACCACGGTCTTAACCATCACCCCTGCTGGACGAAGCCCGAAAGGTCTATTCTTTTAAATTCACGATATTCAGTCTCTCAAGGACAGCACGGAACTAAAAGAAGTAGCGGGAAACCACCTTCTGGGGATGGGAGGGGGGAAGCTATCCATTTTACAGTCTCTGTCTCCCAATATGAAAGCTTATCCAAGAAAGAAAAGAAAAGAAAAGAAATAATCAGGCACCTGCCAGAGCAAATAAGACTTGGGTTTGTTCTGTTTTCTCAGGAAAAAAAGAGAATAAAATATTGTCAGGTGCACCTGCTCCGTCTCATTTCTCTCCGCAATATTCGGAACACCAGGATATGTTGGAGTGGAATACTGTGACATGAAAAGTTTCCTCATTACTCATCATAGCACAACATTAACTTCTTCATAAGGTCATTGATGAAACAAATGCTTAAATATCTTTAAGCAGATTGGATGGCAAAGCCCCCCCACCGCACAGCCCTTGGTGCTGGCCACCCCCCCAATAAGCTCCAGAGAGGTTCCCAGGGTTCCCAAGCCCATTTGGAGGAGGAGGAGGGGAGGGGAGATCCCACCTCCCCCCACTTCCCAGTTCCACTGACAGAGACACTTAGCAGATGTCTCCCATTAAATTGTGGCTGATGTGCACAAGGTACTGGGCCACTACTACTACTACTACTACTACTACTACTACTACTACTACTACTACTACTACAAGAAGGGCTTAATTCATTCTATTTTGGTTTCATTGTTTCTCATTTTTCTGCTACTTGCTCACTCTTGTCCTGTGTCTTCATTGCTCTGCTGCAACTGTGTTTTTTTTAAAGGTCCATACGAAAATTTGCTGGCATTTCTGTCTACATTTCTTGTAATATATACATTATTTTATAGAATTTTGCCTACTGTGCAATTTCTGGAAGCAGCTTTCCTAGAATAATCATTGATAGAGAACAGTTTTCAGAGCAATATATGCACTTGGTACATATTTCTACATTATGAAAACTGCTTCTCAGAATTCAGAGAAGAGCCACGAATAATTGTATTGTGCTTTGCTGGTTCATATGCTTGTTGTGTCCATATCTGACAATATCAGACTCTGAACTGCATGAAATTTCCTTCTGTCCCTACCTAACAACTAGTGGCAGAAGGCTTCAAACCAGTTCAGGGGCTCTTTTTCACTGGAAGTCAGGAAATCTCTCTGATGCAGGCGGAAGTCTTGTTGGGGAGTCTTGGTTTGGGAAGACTCAGAAAATCACACAGAATGATAAATTTTGTAAGTGCTCATCACCTCCCTACCGTGTCCTCCTCTGTAGATTTCTCAGCACCAAAGATGGACAGAAGGATCTCTCTGCTCCCCCTCCACAATTCTGAACACTGGTTTTACTGACTAATCATAGGAGTTTTGAATCAAACATGTATTGTGCTTTTGATATAGTTTCAGTGGAACAGCTCTAGGTTAGACCAGCAGGAAAAAGAGTGCCTATTATTAAAAGGCTATCGGGCAGTTAGGTGATAAACCTGCATGTTACAGCAAAGTAATGAAGGAGATAAGGCTCCAAACACCATAGTCAACATAATACCAGCTGAGATGAACGGAGGTTTAAACAGAGCAAGTGTCTTTTCAGAAAGCATTGAAGTACTCCCTGAGTTGTTTGTGTGGAACATTTGGTTAATTATCTCTCCGGCAGTAAATGAGAGACACAGGAGGCAAATCTGGCTGAACATTTGCTGCCCTTATATTTACATTTCTCAAACCGGCAGGCCACTCTTCTCAACTTTTTACAGTCCAATTTGGTCTACTTGGAGTTTTATTTTTGCATTTCAGGTTTTCAAGCTCAAAAAGGATCAAAAACGTGCACAAATGCTGCCTTCAACCAAAGCCTATCATGAATATATTTGCCTATAAGTGTGTTTTGCTCAGTTTCCACTCCTTTTTTTAAATCTACAAACATTATTTTTCTATCCTCCACACAATCCACATTTATTTTTTGTCTGTGTAGTCTTTCAGAATATATACATTTTACCTGAAATGTTTTCTAATATATATGTTTCGTATACAGTTTCCCCTAATACAGTACTTGCAATTAACGAAATCCTGTTACT